GTTAGGGCGTGTCAAAATCACATCCTTAATAAAATGAACCCCCTCCTACACAAAAACATTTATTATACAGGTTTTGAGCAGATAACATACTCCTCACCAAATGCTTTTTTGAAGCCATTTATAAAATCCTTAAGTTTCTTTTAGCAAAAAGCTAGAGCCCTGGAGTTTATCAACCTTACAGTCAAAAGGCAACAGTATAAAACACCTGAGACAATAATCTACTAAATGACATGAGTCTGACAAAGATTTGGTTCCCAAATGTTGTTTAATTTTACATTCGGTTCATAAAACATTGTAGAAAATGTGTCATCCACACAATAATTTAAGTTATTAGCGCTTACTAAATAATTATTATCTCAAATACAAAGGTAGTTTTCTATCCTCAAATTAAGTATTCAAATGTTACATTACTTACTATATATTACAATTTAGAGGGGGCAGTTAAGTATTAAAGACTATTACGCAATTCTTACAACTGATACCCAATCTAAAACATCATTCACATTCCTGTGATCTGATCCAGCCTATTACATTTCTGAAAACAATCAAAATCCAATGTGTGCACTATCCAGAATGACATTCTGAAGTGCACCAGCGACAAGAAAAGGACACAGAAAGTATTTGTGGAAGATTGAATAATTTAAAAGTCAAACCTTTGGAGTTAATCATCACATTAATATTGCTGGTGGATCCAGAGAATGACAGAAGTTAGTAATAGACACAGTCAGAAAAGACATCACTTTTTTTAAATCCTGTCTTTTCAGTTCATCTTTATACTCATTTATTTATTAATCATCTTAAATAAACAACCCCAAACTTCTTCAGACCATATTTCTGTGTGAATGAAGTTCCAGGGTTAAAAAATGAACTAAACATTTAATAATACAGCATCTATCATATCGCAGTAGTACAATCATCTCCTTACATTTTTACTAATAATGTTTTAATAATTTAAGACTTGATCTCTATATGGCTATTGGTTTTACAATTTAAGAAGAAAAATGTATCAAATAATTTAGAATTTAACTTGCACACAACTATGAATACAAACCATTGCAGAAAAAAACTAAATGGCCTTCATCACAACGGTATCACCTTGTGAAGGTGGACGCAGGCCAACAGTACACATATGGCGCTTGGCCTTGAGAGAATTGGGCCGTACCGGTCAGTGCTCTGCAAGATCCTCTCAGTACGAGGGGCTTTTAATGGAACAAAGACCATGTTTCCAGCATTTTTGTACTCCTGCGCTACACAATAGGTAGCATCATGCATGCTGTAACGGCAGCAATATTTGTCTGCATGTCCAAGGTGCTGCGGACTGATTCTCTTAGCACAGATCCAGGACAGCCTTGTTGATCACAGGGTTGGTCCAGTCGTTCCTCAGATCATCCAAGTGATTGTCAAAGTCAATCAAGTTCTCGTAGGATCTGCCCTCCAACAGAGAAGACGTGATCTTCTGTGCTTCGTTCCAGTCCTCAAAACAGTCACTGGAAGACAAAAACATCATTTAGGCAATTAACACTCTAAACAATTCTAGACAATGTACATGTTTGCTATTTAGTGAGATAACACAGTAGAGCCTGAATGCCAGAAGCTGTGGTTAAGGATGCATATACACTACAGTTTCATTCAAACACATGTAAACAGAGAGACACTCACTAAGTTACTTCTCTGCTTTTCCACTTGTGTTCATGATGGTCATAGATAAGCACAATGGGCTCAAAACAGCTCATTGTTAATCTACTGGTGTCCAGCTGAAGGAAAAAAACAGAAAAGGGAGTTAGAGCCCTTCAGACCTGTTCGGTATATCTTTACAGAACCAAACAAGTGTGTTGCACGTTTTACGTAAAAACATATAAAAATCTCTAATATTTCAGATCTGCAAGTCCATTTTTATATCGATACGATATATATACACTAGGGATGCACGATAATTATCGGCCCGATAATTATCGGTCCGATATTAGGAATTATGACGTCATCCCGATAAACCCGATACCAGTATTAATAGCCCCGATAATATACAATATATTTTTTGGGTAAAAAAAAAGGAAAAAATACTGCGGTGTGGGTGGATTGGGATGAGGGGCGCTTGTTTTTCACTCGGCTCCTCCCGTTTTGCCAGTACTGTGGTATTAGTGGTTTAGGAAGAGGGGAGTTCTTCACAAATCCAGCGCTCCCTAACTCATGCCTGGCTGTGACGTAAATGGTGTGCGGCCGTGAAGCCAGGACAGTAAACAAACATGTCGTCAGTGGTATGGGCGTTGGAGCTATGTGCAACTCAAGGCATATGCTCGAACCGGAGCTGCCTGGACGCTGCAATCATGTTGCGCACTATCCGTGCTGAGTGTGCTGACTTTTCGTACAATGTCCCACTGTCTGGCTTCCTGCATAAAGTCAAGTGCTCGGCGCAGTTGTGTCGCTCCTCTGTTTTCATTTAAACAGCTCCTTATATCTGTTAGCGCAGCTAGCTAGCACCAGATGCTAACAACAACAATGCACGTAAGGTCTCTCTCTTGCTCGCTCGGGCCACACATACACACACCCTCCCGGTCCTCCCAACAGCCAGTCGGTGCCTGCCGGTGAGCGTGGAAGTGTGGTCTGCCACAAGCGGGCGACAGGAGCGGGGCTGTCAGCATCAGCTTGTAGATGGTATTTTAAACTCGATGCGCTCTGAAACTACGGCGCGGCCGAGGACAAAAAATACACATGCGTTAATCGCGTTAAAATAATTAGTGGCGTACATTTTTTTTTATGATCGGTTATCGGTATCGGTCTTTAGAAGCAGGAAGTTATCGGTATCGGTTTCAAAAAACCAATATCGTGCATCCCTAATATACACACCATAGCGATTTAAAACCAGTGGCTGCCTGGAAGAACACATGTGTTAAAAAATGCACCACATGCTTTGAAAATGCAGGAAGTCAGTAGTTAAAGGTGGGGTAGGTAACTTTGGAGAAACCGGCTCGAGTGCATTAGAATTTGAAAATACACAGCCTGAAAAAATCTGCCACTTCCTTACAGAGCCCCTCCTCCAACACACACGAACGCGCACATGACCAATGAGGGCACGAGATAAGTTTGTGCACAGATGTAAGGCTGACAGGCAGGTAGGCCATCCAGTTATTTTAGCCGGGCCGGCTCAGATGATTGGTCGTGCTTTTTACAGTACTACGGCTTCCACAGATGACATTTGTTTATGTATTTTTTGTCAAAGCACTTCAGATATTCATTGCTATCGGGATGTTAAGAGCATTCCATGGAATATAACAAAAAGTGTATCTCGAGCCGGTTTCTCAAACTGACCTACCCCACCTTTAAGCATTTACAGATTCCATTAACAGCAGCTGAAATCAATCACTTTTACCATAACAATTGCTGCTTCATGGAAGTTTTCAGAGATCCTTGCAGCCACTTTTTCTGCAAATTGGTTAGGTCTGCAAGAGAAAGGAGCAACAATTGAGTGCATTAAAGTCCAAATAAGCTTGATACACAGTTCATAGCTGGTTGTTTAGCAGCAGGTGTGACTTTTGTTTCCTGTACCTTGAATCCTTTGTGCGTTCATTGGCTTGATAATATCCAGCGATGATGTAATTATTTTCTTTACACCAAGTATCGATCTAAAAAAGGAGCAGGAGTCATGAAGCCAACATGTAAAGAAAGCACAGTAGAGTTCAAAACACATTTATTTTCAATAAAATAAAAAACTAGACATGTAATTAAGCTTGTATTGTCTACTTTATAAGTGATACATAGGTGTCATTTAGATCAGTAATATGGTATGTTGTCTTTTATAAGGGATTCTCTGAACAGTATGTTCTGGCTCATCTATTATGTGCCTTTAACCAGTTACTCATTATATCCACAATAACAATATTCATGCTATGGAAAATGTCACTATGTAAATATTTTGTGAAAATGTAGTCAGTCCAAAGAGATGTAGTGATATACTGTATTGATCCCAGATTGGTAAATTATTTAGTTGCAGTAGCAGCTGAAATACATTTGATAGTTGTAGCTTGTGAAGTTAAGATTAGATGTATTCTCTAGTACAAGTACTGAGACAACGAAATGTAGTTTGCATCTAACCAGAGGTGCAAAACATCAGAAAGGGCCATTTTAACACATGTATACGTGACTATAAACAAACTGATGCATTTACATTTTACAATATGAATACTATAAGGAGGTATAAACATTATTAAACACTAAACAGGAGCATAGACATTGGAAAAACAATAAATCAGGAAAAAATATAGTTGAATGTATACCTCTATAATGTGACTTACCAGCGTTAAAGCTACTTCTAGCATGGGGGCCAGAGCCAGGGAGCCGTGAAACAGCGGCACACAGTCCACACACAGGACAGGTTCACTGTGGCTCTCTTTCTTTTTCTCCTTCGTCTTTTCTGCCACCAGCAATCCATTCACGGCAAAGTGAGGATACTTGGCAGCATGTAAGAGCATTTTACAGTAAGCCTGGCTGGTCAGTTGAATAGGCATGTTCTTTAAAAAACCGGAAAAACCGGTACAAAAAAATAAACAGATCCTGAGGGAACTTGAGTGGCTACACGATGAGCGACTGCTGCCTGCTAGCTAGAAAAAGTAGATATCTACCTCAGCACTCACCTTACAGTCAGAATGTGTTGTTACCGCTATGCTTTCTGACATCAACGTGTACGCTTTACAAGTAGCAAAAATCACAATTGTCTTTTTTTTCCTAAACGAATTAGTCACTGTCAGGAAATATAGCCATAAGAGCTAATCTCACTGCCACCGTCCACTCGTTTCTGCAGCACCGGTGGTGCCGTAAATCAGAATGGATATGACGTAAAACTGGCCTTTATTTATTTATTCAAGGACATATATGAACCTCATATATTTTGTATATAAAGAAGTTGACATCAGGGGTAGACATGTCAAGTAATGAAAATATTACAGAAAATAAAGAAAGAATAGGAAAAAAAAAACTGGTCTTGTTTCACCTTCTCATGAACGCTTGGCTTACGTTGTTCCGGGTGTCACAATCATACTTCCTTTTAGCCCATCGGCGGACGTGATCAACGAAGAGACAGCAGGTCGTATTTTTTTTCAACAACATCCTTCTAAATATATCGAAACACATCACATCTTAACACTTAAATACATTGTAGCATTCACTGTATTCTTGGTGTAGGTATTTTCCCAAGATAACTGGGCAATTTTAACCGCAATAATCAATTGTGTACGAGTGACTTTGTCAGAGGGGATCGGAGCTAGGACCTGCTAACTGAAGGGCTAGCTTTCGTAAGATTATGGCATCTTTGTTTGTAAATGCTGGTGATGCTCAAACTATGGTAAGATAGAACTGTGGTCAGCTACAGGATTATATATATAAGTGGTTAAATGTTGAAATGTACAATATTGGCTTGAATTACTTATTTCCATTATTATCTATTATCCGTTGCTAGCGTTATGACCTTGTGTTTGCAGCTAAAGCTAACAACAGCTTAGCTTCCGAACTAACGTCAGCTAACCTTTTTCATTTCATTTGTATTTGTTCCGTTCATGGTATGCAAAACTTAATATATAATAATTGTTAACAAAACATGTCTCTGTAAACAGACCATTGAGCGAAAAGGAGCAGGGAGATGAAATCGCATATTACCTGCCCCTTTCTAAAAAACACAAAATAAATGGTCTGTCTTTCATATTTATATAATTTATTTATTATTTAAATGAAACGCCAATAGCTGGACTTCGTAATATAGTTTAGATTAGCTACAAAACAATAGTTTCTGAAGTATCCTAACACCTGCAAAGTGCAGATTAACATTATTATTTATCATTTTGATATCGTATAAGTGTTGCCCAGAAGAAACAGGATAATTTGACTGAATATTTTAAAACCATTGCTAAAAGATCACACAGATTTTGAGGAGGATGAGTTTTATTGTATGTTTGCTAATGTCTTTCATATGATCTTTCCCACAGAATGCTGGCCACCACAGCCCTTCGCCTTCTTGGCAAACGTGCCATTTCCACATCCGTATGTCTGCGTGGAGGACATGGTGAGTGTGACATGACATTACCTGAAGTGTTTTCTATTTTTGAGCAATGACATTATATCAGGTTTGTTCCCTATGTCATTTTCTTTGAATGACTTGGCCCTCCATGAACACATTTGAATAACAATGCAGAAAAGCATGTTTTTCTAAAGAACAAAATGTAAGCAGTGACCTCAAGGACCAGAACGTTTTTGTATTTCTGTGTGCAAATCATAGTCGTTTTTTGAAAACAACAAGAACGCATTTTCACCCACAACACAATATCAATCCTGTAATGCGGTTCTGGCTGGTGAGCCTTTATCTATACTCATATACTATCTGACACCATAGCTATGTCCATCTGGCTGCGCACTTAATTCAGATCAAACCTTGTAAACATATTTTACAGCCACCATAAAAGTGTTTGCCTGAAGTGCTAGTAACTTCATAGTTTCTTGTACTGTCAGCTGGACGGGCAATCGTTCAAGTATTACAGATGGATATATACAGGAATTGATATATTATTTTACATGCATCAATTAGATAATTGCATGTACCTATTTTTTTTTTTTTAAATCTACACTTTGCTTTCTGTAATTTGTGCGTTTAACAGCAGAGTCTTACAAAAACAAAGCATGGTAGTCTTTCATCAACAACACATTTCAAAAAAAGGTTGGCAGGTTTGAAGTCATTCAATGTTATGGAAACTTATTTGATGAGTCGTTCTTTTTCATTTCCTTCAGGTGTGGCTAAGATAGAGGCCTACACTCTCCCTGCCTACTTTGACCGGCGGGAGAACCCCCTCCCAGATATCTGCTATGTGCAGGACCTGAGTGTTGAGCAGGTATCCCTGAAGGAGAAGGAGCAGGGCTCCTGGGCTGCACTCTCCAACGAGGAGAAGGTTGCATGTAAGACTAAATTGCACTGCAGCACTTTTCTTTTTTTAAGGAGCTGCTTCTTTCATTGCTATAGGTTAAACTGATTTTGTTATCAGCGAATACTATCAATGGTCAAGTCACTTTTTATTTATTACAATTGTCATCATCTAGGTTTTGTGTTTCTCAATGTTCAGTGTACCGCATCAGCTTCAAGCAGAGCTTTGCTGAGATGGGCGAGGCGACGGCAGAGTGGAAAACTGTGATTGGTGGGGTGCTCTTCGTAGTCGGCTTTACTGGCCTGATTGTGCTGTGGCAGAGAAAGTTTGGTATGTATGCCAACAATTGTAATGCAGTGATGTGTCTGCACATTCAAGATTTTAAATAATGAATCCTTTGTTTTCCTAATGTCATCGATGAAGACAGAAAAGCAATTATGTTGTTTAATTGTATGTGTGTGTGCGCTATGCAATTAAGGTTAAGACTCTGCATTACTTGACACGTATGGTCTCTTTGCAGTGTTTGGACCCGTCCCACACACTTTTGATCCCGAGTGGAAAGCAAAGGAGCTGCAAAGGATGTTGGACATGAGAATGAACCCAGTGGAGGGCTTATCAGCCAAATGGGACTCAGAAAACAAGCAGTGGAAAAAGTAATAGACCAGAGGACCAAAACACATACTGGAAAATAATAGCATACCAACATAAAGATACAATAATACATGCATTTCTTTATCTATCAATTATCCAATTTACCGCTGTCTGTTCGTTGTGGAAGACCTCTTCCTCTTAAGGTCGTTGTGTATTATAGAAGAAGGAATAAAAATGGTAAACTGCTAATGTGTCTTCACTCTGTACCTCCTGTGTAAATAATGCTTCTATATTAAATTGCTCTTTCATATAAAAATGGAATAGCAAAGGACTCTCCCCATTTTATTAGTTTGGTTGAGTTAATAAGCTCTTAATCGCTTTAAAAGGTTCTAGTGAGATGACAATCAGTTATGCTATGTGTCAGTCATTAGCTAAATTAAAAAGTAATTGACATTTGTCATTTTGAATAGTTCAAATTCTAGTGTGTCATAAACATTTTGTATTCTTATTGGTTACCCACTGACTTCTGTCTTAAACAATCAGGTAGGTGACACTGAACAGCCTTTCCCTCTGTAATGAACTTAAAACCTTGACAACACATTTTACCATGTAGTCACCTGAGGCCAATAGTAACACCAGGAGTGTTTATTAAGATCTTCAGTAGCATCAGGTTAATTATTACCAAAAGCTACTGCTGATTCAATTTAAACATTTCTACTTTCTTGGTCCTACGACCATCATTATGGTAAGCGTTTATCAAATCAATCATAACGTGTTATTGTTATATCGATTAAGTGTAACCATGCAGGAAAACAAATGCATTTGTTACTGAAACCAAACCTACGCCCTTGGGTGGTGAACTTTTACATGCATGCAAAGAACCGTAGGTTAGAAACACCCTCATTACCTGTTGACGCGGTACAACTGGGTTACAATTTTTAGTGGTTATTGTCGAATGCTTTCATCAAACTGGAATAGTTTGTCATGTATATCATCATGCTCTCAAAACAAGAATATAGGTAGGTGTTTAGGAATTACACGTGGGATTCCGTGTTTGCCCATTTAAAGAATAAACTACGTCACCCCATAATTGTCCCCAGTCGGTGTTACTAAATTGCTACGTCATAGGATGTATGTCTTCCTCATGATCTGCACTTCTAAATCCCACACTGCTGAAGGTGAAACAGGCTGTGATGTCACTTACCGGATGAACCCGCAGCTGCGGTTGTTTCACGTCAAAAACAATCCGGAAGACGGTACAGAATGACGGAACTATTGTTGGATCTAAAACGAGGTTAAGGTTGTAATACAAATGCAAGGCTACTGTGTTAAACACGTTAGTGCCATTTAATAATGTTGTGGAATAAAAGACAAAGGTAGCTGCGGAAGCGAAGGCTGTGCACTGTGTTATGAGTTGAAGTCAGCCACTCCAGCTTCGCGTTTTGGATTTAAAGTCCATGTTAACATATCGCAGCAGATCTATATATTAAAGTGTTAGCTCATCGAAGGCCGATTCGGAGTCAACATGGGAAATGGAATGAATAAGGTAGGCTTTGGCTTTTTATAATGCATGTTGTAGTAGTCATGGGCTTCTTAATGGTAAACTCAGCACAGCTGAGGAAAATGCGTGCCTACCTTTTCTGTAATTGTTCAAACTATTTAATAAATAACGTGACATTAGATAGAATGCATTTAGGATGGGTGCCGATAGATCGGTTTTTGAATGTTTCAATAATGTGTAAACAGCATAAACCAAGACTTCCTCTTAGCTAAGATCTGATTTTTTCCCCCTAGATTTGTAATGCAATCATAAGATTGTGCTATAGCAGAGGCACATGATTGTACTGTACACTCAGATTGTTGGTACATTAGTTTCTGGCTCCTCCTTCCAACCATCTGACGTGCCCCAATGCAAGGCACTTATTAATCCATGCAGAGATGCTGCAACTGGGCCTGACCTCTGTCCCTCTGACCATTCATATTGTACTTATTTCAAATCAATAGATTCTTGCAAAATTGTTCTTCTTGATTTCAGGTTGGCTTATGATTTACCCATTTTGATACGTTGACATAACAAATTACTTGTCAGATGATGATGAGAAGTCATGAAACATGTAATTGATGCCTTGTGTTTTGATAGTCAATAGAACGTGATAACTTTGTATCAATATCATATGTATTTCCATTTTTAATTGGCACCAAAGTGTGCAGGGTGAGTAAGTCACACATTTTAGGGTATCCAGCCCTTTATTATCTTTAGACCCCTGGTGCTCCATGGTACTGCTACGTGGTATAGCAACACTCAGTGGCGGCTTGCCACTCATCACTTCGTCCAGATAATCATGCATCGTTGCTTCAGGCCTTGTATGGCTGTTCTTCCTGCTGCTTGGTCCTTAAGCCTTAAACCTTAAATCCAATCTGGCTCAACCCTGGGCAAGTTGAGTGAAGATTTTGAAGCTGGACTGTAAAAAATATCTAACCTGAATGCAACATGTCTCTGACTTTTGCTTCACAGGTTGTTGATGGACTCTACCTCGGGAATATAAGAGGTAAGACAAACATCAGGTAACTTTATTTGATGTTTGTAAATCTGATACATACACAGTGGGGTCGGAGGCTACTGTAGAGTATCGCAACACTTTTTTTTACCAAACATATCTCTTTGCGCAGTATTCCTTAAAACAATATGGATCAAGATTTTTTTATTTGTCAATTTGTACTGGATAGTTTCAAATGTAAGTGCTCTGCCTACATACAGTTTAACACAAAGTTGTAACTATCAAAATTAGATTTTTTTGTCAGGAAGTTCTCTTGACAAACATAGATTTCAGATTAATTCAAATGTCTTGTTGACAAAAAAAAAGTTGTTCCTTCACATAAAATAAGAATCATCAGTTATTAATAGGCATGTCCCTGGCCTGGAACAACCCCTTCCCTGCTGATGTGCCATTCACAGCTTGCTAACTTTAGCTGCTGTGATGGTGGCTTCCCATGATGGCATAAGCATAAAGACTAAAATTAGCTCAACTGACAGGAACAAGTGACCACAGGCCTCACTGTACCGAACGTTTAGTAAATGGCCGACAGAGCTGCCTTTGCAACAGCTTACATTATGACATTGTTGTTATGTTTGGTTTGAAATTCACTGACATTACTATAGTGAAATATTTTCTTCAATCTTTTTGTCCCAGATGCAGAAAACAGAGAAAGTCTGGCTAAGAATGGAATCACCCACATCCTATCTGTATACAACAATGCTAAACCCGTGTTTGAGGTTAGTGGAAAATCCATGTTGGATGGTTCAAACTATTTGTACGGTATGACTCTGCATGTAATAGTGTGATGTGTCCTGTCAACCAGCTGGGGGTGGTGATGAGTTATAGATGGAGCAAAAGAGTTATGTGCCTGAGAGTTCAAATGTGGGGTGCTGTGTGCATGTATAAACAAAAGGTATTCATCTTAGAAACTATATATAGAGTTTATATGAAGCCATTTTAATCTTGTGTAATTAGAAATGACTGAAAGTGTAGATGCTTAATTAAGGGAAGGTAAAGTCCACATTATTCAACGTTATGTGCTGAGACTGATACTACACATGTAATCAAAGTAAAAAATGTTTTGGGTTGCAGACATAGAGCACACGTTCTTGGGCTTACATGAGACAGAAAATGCAGGAGATCACCTGAAGAACCTACTTGTGAACGTATTGGTGCATTTTTACATGTAACAGTTTTTCATGTATTGTTAACAGGACAAGACTTACCTTTGTATTCAAGCTGCTGATGCTTCCAACCAGAACCTGTGAGTAAAAATGCGTGTATACACACACACACACACACACACACTCACATATATATACCCCATATTTTAAAAGTCGTTAACTTTGTGAAGCGTTGATGAGTCATGAAGTATTATTTCAACACATTACCCTCCAGATTGTGGTCCCTGGGTGTGACAGCCTAATGCAAACCGTTTTAATATTATATGAAATCTTTTGACAGTTTGGAAAACAAGTGTAATTTCATGATTCCTGTTCGTAGTTTAAAGACATTTACTATTGGAAATTGCCTAGTTTAGTTTGTTGTTTGGCACAATTTAGAAATACACAAACATAACAGAAAACAAATAATATACATTGCAGGAAGAGGCAAAAATCCACTGGGCCAATTTGAAGCCTCCACCTGAATAATATTAAAATACACAATTTCATAGGGAACACAACATTTATATATTAAAAATAATATGAATTCAATAGTGATGGAAAACTATGGGAACAATAAATAAACAACAACAATTAAATCACGATTACATTACAAGAAGGAAATGTGATTGTGGAAAGTGAATTAAGCGCACATTTAGAGTAGAGGGAAAAGTGACCAGTATCTCTTAGTTGAAACAAATCCTATATTCATCTCGTGACTTTTAGCTACTGTAAATATAATAAACCCTTCACAATGACGTTCCTTATGTACGGTTTCCAAAGAAACATGAGCGCTACAATATGTTTATTTTTGGTGTTTCTACGTCTGTGTGTTTCTGTGAGAGAGAGATATATAAAAGGAGAGGAGAGACAGGGAACTGTGCGTCCAATGGGCCGAAGGCAGACTTGGTGTTGAAAGAGCATGAGCTGTCCCTCCACCCCTGCAGCAGTGGCTAACACAAGGCATTAGTCATTGCATTTCTGTTGATTTTGTTAAATAATTTTGACTTCATGCTTGAAATGGGCTGAAGGCATCAATAAGGGGTTAGAGTTTGGGCGTCAATGAAAAAGAGAAGTCTCATTTTGTATTGCGACCCCAGTCAGTTCTGGAGCTGGTGAGGGGTTGCTGTATGTTGTAATCATAGAATGGGTTGCACACATTTCCAATGGATAAACATATTCCTGAGAAACTCCTTTTGTGTTGTGTATTGGAGGATGCACAAGGGGCAATGTTGATGCAGGCTGAATTATTAACTTGCAAACCACATAGTAGACAGAGGTGGGACATATTGCTTAGTTGAATGCAAGCTGAAATTGGTCCTTGGTGTCAAAGGCGTTTAATATCCTGTATTAATACTCATCAATTATTCAATTCAAATTTCCTGATTCAATTGTCCCTGTTGGGTCTGAGTTGGACAGTCATTGCGTTGTCCGGGTTTGAAGAGGAACTTGCTTTACTTTGTGAGAAAGACAACAGCGCTGGGTAAAATGCAACTTAATGAGAATTGAGGTTTGGTGTTTGGTTGGATGTTGCTGATTGGGCTGGGTT